TTTCAAACATATTTTTTTCGTTTTAAATTGTTCTCTTTCTTTTATTATCTTTTTCTTATCATCTCAATTACAATGCTTATTATACTAAACAAAATTAAAATATATATAATCTAATATTATTTAAAAAAATCCATCAATGTCTCGTGCACCGCGCTAGTCTCAGTCTAGTTCTATATAAACTTCCTATAATTTTCTCACATTTTTCATAGGAAATGGTTTCTTAGGAATGTTTGAGTTTCACAATATAGCATCCAAGATATATAATGGTGGATTGATGTGTTGGCAATTTCTTAAGCATAGTTAATTTATGAATGTAGCACATAGATTCGTTATATGTTGATTGAGAAACTATACCCCTTGGTTCTTTTATAAAATCGAGGGAAAAGATTATTTCATTTTTAATTAAAAAAATATAAAATATGGTCTTTTCCCTCAATTTTATTAAAAATTGAGGTAATATATTCAAATAAAGGATAATGTGTTGTTTCTTTTTTCAATTTGTTACCATTCCATTGTAACACCCCACGCATACATTGCCTAGGATATATGTATATGGCATTAATATGGTACACAAAACATTCAAACACAAGCAGCGGAATAGATATAAGTATTAGTACATATTACAAATTTTTGCTGAAATTGTCATGGCCAAATTATACAAATCCCAATAAGTACTAATACATGATCCAAGGTACATAAAGTCAAAATACAGAAGAGTAGGATAACGCCAAGAACATCACCGACAAGCTAAGCCATCTTACCCTTGCCATGATCCTGCCTCGAACTACCTGAAAAAATGATAATTGGAATGGGGTGAGATTACTAAATCTCAGTGAGTCTCCTTATCTTAAGGATTCGCTCAGTACTACAGGGTGCATGCATTTGAATGAATTCACCGAGAATCTGAGGTTTTATCTCACAGTCAGGTACAAATACACAACAACAGTACACCTCCATTGAAATTCCCATAACTATCCAATGAGGCAACAAGAAAACATAACCGGCACAAAGCCACAAACAATTGGCACAAGGCCCGACACAACAACCACAAATTATGCAGACTCATACTCGTGTATGGGGAATCCAAAAGTATGTTCTACCTTCTCAATAGACTACACATTCACAGCCTCGATGAGTCACCCTATGCATCGCATCAAGAGACTTGTACCAGCATACGTCGTGATGAATCAGATCATTCCTAATTGGAATTCCATCAGCGATGAGTTAAACTCCAAGGTGACAAGCCTAATGGTTTCACTACATGGCACCATTAGAGGTGAGTCCGAAGTGATATTGCCTATGTGGAATCACATCCATTCACCATACCAAGCACGCCGATGTGATCCCCACACGTGGGGAAATGCCCTAAAGGACCCCCAACTACACATCCTAATGCTAGCTCAGGTGCGTATGACATACCCAGAATACACAGCAAGGTATCCCAGAACACACAATAAGGCACAAACTAAAGAACACATATCATTAGTCGTGTTCATAAGTGATTTACCATCTATTAGCAGGTCTACTTAGATTCAAGCATATATCATGCAATTAAGCACATCAAGCCACACATGCAAATACATCCGAACATTCAACCAAAACGAACGGGAACATACATATGATCATATCACAATATTTATCATATAATGCATATCATAAATAACATTCATGTACATTCGAAGAGCATATGTAGCAGTACATTATGATCCTTTCATGTACTCCAAATTAGAGGTAAAGGCATATGGTTAATTCATAACCATGTAAAGGATCGAATAAGTTTCACATCTCCTAAAAAGGGTCTTATATCCTTTCACAATCAACTTTTCCCATTCATCTTTAATAAAGATCTTAAATTCTTCATGGTTATACCAAGCGTTGTTGAATCTAAAGGGCTTTGGGCCCAATCAATCTTTCAGGAATTAAGCCAAATTACCATAAGTAGAAAAGTTGTTGATTATGCAAAATAACATTGCACGCATTTTAAACTTTTCCACAGATTATACATCATCAACTTCAACGCCTTTATCCCACAAAAGTCGTAAATCTTTAATTAATGCATTAAGATAAACATCTTTGTCGTTACCAGGTTGTCGTGGTCCAGAAATCATCATACTAGACAAAATATACTTGCACTTCATGCACAACCAAGGAGATAGATTGTAAACAGTGAGAAGAACGGGCCACGGAGAATTATTAGGCTAAGATTACCAAAGCAGTTCATTCCATCAGTGGCAAGCCCAAGCCTAAGGTTTCTTGGCTCAATTCTAAAATTCTGAAATAAAGAATCAATTTTCTTCCATTGCAAAGAATGAACTACATGGCAAATGTTTGCATCACGTTTTCTTTCATCTGCGTGCCATCTCATATTCTTTGTATCATTTTAATTAGCAAAAAAGTATCTTAAATCGTGAAATTATTGGCAAGTACTATAACACTTTAGCAGGAGGATGCTTCCTACTACATTGTCATCACCATTATTGGCATTCATCTTGTAACGTGACACACCATATTTCAGATATTGATTCAAGTCTTCGTACTCTTTCATATATAATATGCAATCATTAGGGCATGCATGTATTTTGAAATACTCCAAATCCTTTGGACACAATATCTTCTTGGCCTTATAAGAACGATGCGACAAATTGTTATCTTCGGGTAACATTTGCTTTAGCAAATCAAGTAACTTCTTAAAACTTTTATACGACCATTCATTTTTTGCCTTCAGATTAAACAAATATAACACCGCACACAATCGTGTAAAACTCGTGCATCCCTTATAGAAAGGTGTGTCTTTACCCCTACATAAAGTATCATAAATATGAGCATTCTTAAAATAAGATTCTCCAACATCACGTAACATATCCTCTAGTTGATCATCCATATTTTCATCTTCATCCACTCTTTGAATTTGTTACGCCTGACTTCCCTTATTATCCACCTCACCATGCCACATTCATATTGTATATGATTGATATATACCAAAAACACATAAATGATGGAATATTTCATCCTTTATACCTTTACGGATATTCCCGCATTTAACACAAGGACAATAAAAGATACCATTATTATTGGGGAGATTTTTATCAGCATATTCAAGGAATTCACGGACTCCATTCTCATAAACCGAACCTAATCTACTGTCTTTCATCCAACTACAGTCCATAACAACTTCTGAAATTTATACACGAATAATAATGTGAATGACACACCAAAATCTAAACCAAAAACTATAACTCTAAACCTTAAGCATATGAATGTAATATTTATGTTCACTTTTAAATCCAATAGAACAGCTAACAAACAACATATATATCTACCAAGTACAATATACATGAAGATCTAACAAATGACATATATATCTACCAAGAACAATACATATGAACAATATATTTGAAAAGCTAAGAAACGGAACAAACAGAACGGCTAAGAAAGGTATATTATTTTTGTTCAGCTCTATATCCAACAACACAGCTAACAACAATGAACGAAAAAAGGATGAAGATTACTGTATGTTGAAGATGAGGACGAGAACAGGAATGAAGATGCTGAAGATTTGCGATTGAAATGAACAAGAATGAACATGTTGAAGATTTCGATTGAAGATGAAGAGTACTGATGTCGTCTCTGGTTCGCTTGATCGCCTAGGGCATCTTATGAAAGAAAGGGGGATTAAGTTGTTTTAATTTATCAGTAAAATCTTTGATCGCGGTTAAACAACAGATTCGCAGTAGAAGTATAAACAATATAACAACGGTTGAGTCAACCACCGTAGTGACATCCCTTTTAATTTCTATTTAAAAAAATAAAAAATAAAAGGTGTGCCTTAATGTTAAAGGAATAAATTATTTGACGAAGCTGGGGTTCGAATCCAAGAAAGCTTGATATTATGAACACGGTTATTACAACAACTGTTGTTATAACCTAACAATTTTTAATAAAAAAACCAAAAAAATGTTAGCGTCTGAAATTAGAGATGTCACCACGATATTTGAAAGAACTGTGGTGAATTGAGCGTTTTTGTTATGCATTTTGTAGTAATGAACATTGTACCATGTTAAAACATTAGAAAAAATATCTTTAATTATTTTCCTATTAAATTGGTATAATGTGTATATTCAACTAACAATAAACAATAATAATTTTATTTGTAAAAAAATGATTAATATTTTAATTTGGCCTTTATTCAAGTCATTGTTTATTTTTAAACTACCAAAATAAATAGTCATTGTTTATAATAATTTTATTTTTAAAAATTAAGAGCATAATTGTAGCAAGTCATTGTTTATGGGGTCTCATGTTTAGGTTTACATAACTTTCCTTTCTATTTCTTAATAGATGCGTGGAAAAAGAATCCGATGTTATAATATTTGTTTTCCCATTTAAAAAAATAAATACAGTAGTTTACAACTTGCTTATGTACGTCACATGATAGCATTGTTCTTCTTGGAAGCTACCCTCTATTTGACTACAATGGACATTTATAACAAATCAATGTATTAAAATAATTTTTCTTATTAATCATCATAAAATAAGACTATGCATTCTATTAGTAAAAAAAAGGACTATGCATTCTCAACTCATTCTATAAATACGTGGAACAATACACATCTTTTTTCATACAAAGTTTTCCTACAACTCAAACCCATTTCAGTTCTTGATCATCTTCTCTGCATATTCAGAAAAAGAAACCAACACATTTAAGTATGTCGTCAAATTTTGAGATTCCAACGAGTAAGTACACCTCAATATTGGGTGCTAAACTTGATAAGCTTCCTAATCAAGATGAAGCTATAGAGCTATTTCAAATATGGAAGAAAGAACATGAACGAGTCTACAGTGATCTAGAAGTGACGGCAAAGAAATTTGGCATATTTGTTACAAATTTGAAGTATATCACAGAGAGTAATGCAAAGAGAGACTCATCTCATAGCGTTCTTCTCGGTCTGACCAACTTTGCTGATTTGAGCTTCATGGAGTTCAACGAAACATACATGACCATGAACACTGACACCATTGATATTGCGAACAATGAAGTTGTTTATGACTCAACATCTAGTGATCCACCTTCATCCTTGGACTGGAGGTCGAAAGGAGCTGTCACTCCAGTGAAGGATCAAGGAACGTGTGGTAAGTTGGTTGTGTTAGATACATATGTGTTTTTCGTAATTCATATCGCATTCTACTCTCACACGCAAATTAATACTTCCTTAGGTTGCTGCTGGGCATTCGCATGTGTTGGAGCCATAGAAGGAATAGTTCAAATAAAGAAAGGGAAGCTTATAAGACTCTCAGAGCAAGAGCTTCTAGATTGTGTACCAAATGCAGGTTGTAATGGAGGAACTAAGACTGATGGATTCAAATGGGTAATAGGAAACAAAGGGGTTGCAAGAGAAGATGATTATCCTTATACGGCAAAGAAGGATGTTTGTAGATCCGGCCAGGTTCTTAATTTCTATCAATTTTACTATTATATAGTTTCTATAATCACACATTAAAAAGTAGTGGTATTGATTCATATCATCTCCTTCTTTTTTTATGAAATGTAGATTTCAAACAGTGCAAATAGTAATATTGATTCATATTATCTCGTGGAGAGAACTGACAGGGGACTATTGGGTGTTGTTGCTAAGCAACCTCTTAGTATTAGTATTTATGCGAAGTCTCCCGAGTTTCAACTTTACATCGGTGTAAGTGGTTATATAATATAGAGTTCTTATCTTCTTATTCATGTCCACTCTTTGTTTTGTTAAACACCTAGCTATATGATCAAGGTTTTAAAAAAGTTTTTGGTAACAAAAGATGCTAATATTGTTATCTACCATTTTTATTTTGAGAACAAAAATTAAAATAAAAAACAGTTATGATGGGGACAAAATGCCATTATTCAAATATATAATTTTTTTTTACATTTGTTAATCAAGAACATATTTATCCATTAACAGGGAATATTTAGAGGGGAAGATTGTCCGGAAACTTTAGAGATAACTCACAGCATGTTAATAGTGGGTTATGATTCTATAGCCGGTGAAGATTATTGGATTGTGAAGAACTCATATGGAGGAACATGGGGAATACATGGTTATATGTATATCAAAAGGAACACTAATAAAAAGTATGGAGTGGCTGCAATCAATGCATGGGCTATAGACATAGTCAAAAATAAATAAACATATGAGAAAGTAAACTAATTTATTTTACTCGTTCTCCAAGAAATAATTAAAAGCAAGATTTACGGTTTTCCCAGTCTAGAGTATGTTATGTGGTTATTCTTGATGTTGTTTTGAATATGTTCTCTTGTTCATGATTGTTATTCTTGATGTAACATAGCAGTCATGATTTTAAAATAGTTGGTATTTTGTGATTAGTAGTCTCTTGCTCCTATACGTGAGTTAGAGAATTCAAAATTTCTCCGTTCTTGAAAAGAAAATATTTGTATCTGAATTGTTTTTAAATAAATGTATATGTTGTGATAATTTAAAAGAGAATATATTTATTTAAAAGACATTTCTACTTTTTTTATAAGAAAAGAGAATATATTAAACTAACAATGACTACAAGAGATACTCATCTCAAGATATAAAATAACAAAGACCAAATTACTTACAACAATTGGGTTTTAAAGTCAAACTAGACAAACAAAGGTCTCGATTTACATCTTCCAACTCAAATGAGGAATAAAATCATCAAATTTTTGTAGTCTTTAAACCAATTCAATTTGTTGTAATAATAGAGTTTCTATAATCATAAATGAAGTGATCAGATTATTTAACTTTTTATTATACTGAGTTTAAAAGGAGAATTAAATTATATGATCGAATGAAGTAGTGTTAAGGTTAAATTTATTTTGTAGAGAAACCTTCATTTCCGTGTATTACTATCAGAAAGATAAGGATTTATTTTACAATCGTATCTCACATTATTCATTTTATATAATAAAACTATAAATTTCTTGATAACAAATAATCGGTATATACATCCTTGATTGCAAATAAATTTGTTGCGTTGTCGACAAGCTATATGATATCAAGAACAATATACAAAATTGGATAGAGACCGGCGCGATGTACAGGGTAGAGATAAATTTTTTAAGTAGTATTATAAATGTAGATTTTGAATTTATCTATAATATAAAAAAATTAGATATTCTGGGAAACACAATAATAATCTCTCCTCTTTGCCATCCATCTTACCAATTGAGGGGCATTTTGTGTCCAAAAGTTACTTTTTGCAACTAAATTGTACTTTTGATTATATGGCAAACATATTTACTATGAATTGTGTACAAATATGACACTATTTGATTAACATATTACACTCTTCCCCAACACTCACTTTTTCTTAACAAACTTCACTTATCTCTCATATGAACCTTCATACGCCAACCTCACTTCTCACTCATCACATTCCACGTCTCTTCTTTATATTGTTCAGACTCCAAAAAAACCTTCACTTTCCCTCATCTTCCACTGTCACAAATTGATTTTTCGATGACCTCCATACTCTTTCAATGCAGTTGCGATGTCTTCCAACTTCAAAATGACAAGACCTTATGAAAGTGTCAAAGACATCAATGAAAGTAAGGAGTTTTAGAAAATAGTTGTTCGGGTTCATCACAAATGGAGTGTTATATCAAGGAATAAGGAACACTTTGAAATGATTCTGGTTGATAAAGAAGTAAGCATGACCTGGGTTCCATTTATTATATGCAAGAGTGTTTTTTTTGTTTACATGAATTGTTATCCATTTATGTATGGTATCCTGGTTTGTTCTGTTGTTAAGTACATGACTTATGTTGTGTTTTAAAAAATATTTTCGGTATTATGACAGATCTTTACTGTTAAGAATCATGTATGGTTTTCTGAAATTTTCCTTCTTTTATATTATAGATGTTGCTATTCTCATAAACAGATATTGAATGTTAAAGATTTTTCATTACTTCTGAAAACTTTTATGAAATATGTTAATGTACTTGACATACATGTATTGTATTTCAGGGTTCTGATATACACTGCAAAGTTTCGGCTGTATTGTAGCAGGCATATGATTCTGTCCTAACCGTGGATAAGACTTATACCATAGCCAACTTTCAAGTTTCATTGAACGACCTTTTGTTCAAGCCTTCCGAACACAAATATATGTTGACTTTAAGAGGTGGTACAAGTGTTGGTGATGAAAACAAATATCAGATACAACCTAAACCACTCAATTTCACTCCATTTATTGATATTATATCTGGAAAAGGGAAGATGGGTGTGCTAATAGGTATGCCTAACTTAATGTGATGCTTGTTTACATTGTCAATTCTATCTTCTTGCAATTGTCTTTCCTGGTTTATTTAAATTTCATAGGATTGGTGATAGAGATTGGTTACACTCAAATTGAAAGTGGGACCAAAAAATAGCATATCAACTTGGTTTTGAAAGATTTAAGGTATGCCCACTTCACTATATGATTGATATAACCAACAATACATAGATGATGGAATATTTAACCCTTTATACCTTTACTGATATTCCCGTATTTAACACAAGGACAATAAAAGATACCACTATTGTTGGGTAGATTTTTATCATCGTATTCAAGGAATTCACGAACTCCGTTCTTATAAATCGAATCTAATCTATTGGCTTTCATCCAACTACAGTCCATAACAACTTCTAAAGTTTATACACGAATAATAATGTGAACGACACACCAAAATCTAAACTAAAAACTATAACTCTAAACCTTAAGCATATGAATATAATATTTATGTTCACTTCTTTATTCAACAGAACAACTAACAAACGACATATATATCTACCAAGAATAATATACATGAAGAGCTAACAAACAGAATATATATCTACCAAGAACAATACAATCGAAAAGTTAAGAAAGGGAACAAACATAACGGCTAAGAAAGGCATAATATTTTTGTTCAGCTCTATATCCAACAACACTTCTAACAACAGTGAACGAAAAAATAAAGAAGAGTGTCGTATGTCGTAGATGAGGACGAGAACAAGAATGAAGATGTTGAAAATTTGCGATTGAAATGAATAAGAATGAGTACCATATCCCCCAATAGAGAGATATTTTCCATGCCAAGCATACAAACTTCTTCTGATCTTGTTTAAAGTTGACTCCCAAGTTACTTTTCTCTTATGGTTAGCCCCCAATTGAATGCCAAGAAACAGAAAAAGAAGATCTTAAGTTCCACAAGACAAAAACTTAGGTGCAGCTTCCAAAAACCCTTCCATTAAATTTATAACAAAAAGTTTTCTCTTAATTAGATTTACTCGAGTGATCGATGTCAATTCAAACCCTCTTAACATAGTCTTGATATTCAAAAAAATTTCCAAGAGCCATCATCAATTTAGATAGTATCATCGGCAAATTAAAACATCTCAAATTGAATGTCCTCCCTGAGTTGGAACCCTTGAAAGTTATATATCGTAATAGTATTTAACATTAGTTCTGCCAAACCATCTGCAATTAATAAAAACAAACACAGTGAAAAAAGATTCCCTGAGGTAATCCTCTTGAAGCCTTAAAATACATAATGGGGATGCCATTAACAAGCATAGAAAGAGAGCTTGTAAAAACTAGTGCATCCATCTAATTTATCCAGATAATACAAAAATTCATCCTTCTCGTAATGTATATGAGATAATCCCAAGAAACACGATGGTAGGCCTTTTTGAAATCGATACACCCGCGCTTATCCCTCTTAGAAAAATAGATTAATTCATTTAGGATCAACATTCCATCAAGCATTTGCCTTTGAAATATAAAGGCTGATTAGAATTGAGATATTAACTTTATGATTACTTTCTTCTATCTAGAGGCCTAAATCTTAGAGATAATATATTATATAATCAGAGTCGCGAATTCTTGTTGGTATCATCTAAAAGTTTATTCTCTATTAGAGGTCATGGGTTCAACACCCACTAACTACAAAAATCTATTAATTTAACAACTTATTTTTAAATACATCAATATAAAATGATTTTATAAACCTTAAAAAATAATTTATATATTTTTCTTGCAATCATTTCATCTATTTCAACATTATTTATATATTTTTGAAAAATAAAATTAATTATATCTACTCAATATAATTATATTATTTAAGTCAATATAATACAAGTTTTGTATGTTATTCCTTAAATCATGAAGTTATATCATTAAAATTGGAGTAAAATAAGAAAAGGAAATATAAAACAAAATTATTAAAAAAATTTATTATGATGATTTGTTGCATAGAGTCCGAGTCATCCGAATGTAGAATTTCTCTCATTAATAAAATAACGAAGATTTAACATTTTTTTTAAAATATAGAAAAAAAAAGAAAGGAAATCTGAAACAAAATTATTGAAAGTTTTTTACTATAATGATTTGTTGCATAGCATCTGAGTCATTCGACTGTAAAATTTCTCCCATCCATAAAAAAATTAGATATTATGGAAAACACCATAATAATCTCTCCTCTTTGCCATCCATTTACCATTTGAGGGGTATTTTGTGTCCAAAAATTACTTTTTGCAACTAAATTGTACTTTTGATTATATGGCAAACATATTTACTATGAATTGTGTACAAATATGACACTATTTGATTAACATATTACACTCTTCCCCAACACTCACTTTTTCTTAACAAACTTCACTTCTCTCTCATATGAACCTTCACACGCCAACCTCACTTCTCACTCATCACATTCCACCTCTCTTCTTTATATTGTTCAGACTCCAAAAAAACCTTTACTTTCCCTCATCTTCCACTGTCACAAATTGATTTTTCGATGACCTCCATACTCTTTCAACGCAGTTGCGATGTCTTCCAATTTCAAAATGACAAGACCTTATGAAAGTGTCAAAGACATCAATGAAAGTAAGGAGTTATAGAAAATAGTTGTTCGGGTTCATCACAAATGGAGTGTTATATCAAGGAATAAGGAACACTTTGAAATGATTCTGGTTGATAAAGAAGTAAGCATGACCTGGGTTCCATTTATTATATGCAAGAGTGTTTTTTTTGTTTACATGAATTGTTATCCATTTATGAATGGTATCCTGGTTTGTTCTGTTGTTAAGTACAAGACTTATGTTGTGTTTTAAAAAATATTTTCGGTATTATGATAGATCTTTACTGTTAATAATCATGTATGGTTTTCTGAAATCTTCCTTCTTTTATATTATAGATGTTGCTATTCTCATAAACAGATATTGAATGTTAAATATTTTTCATTACTTCTAAAAACATTTATGAAATATGTTAATGTACTTGACACACATGTATTGTATTTCAGGGTTCTGATATACACTACAAAGTTTCGGCTGTATTGTAGAAGGCATATGATTTTGTCCTAACCGTGGATAAGACTTATACCATAGCCAACTTTCAAGTTTCATTGAACGACCTTTTGTTCAAGCCTTCCGAACACAAATATATGTTGACTTTCAGAGGTGGTACAAGTATTGGTGATGAAAACAAATATCATATACAACCTAAACCACTCAATTTCACTCCATTTATTGATATTATAACTGGAAAAGGGAAGAGGGGTGTGCTAAAATGTATGACTAACTTAATGTGATGCTTGTTTACATTATCAAGTCTATCTTCTTGCAATTGTATTTCCTGGTTTATTTAAATGTTATAGGATTGGTGAAAGAGATTGGTTACACTCAAATTGAAAGTGGGACCAAAAAATAGAATATCTGAAGATGTGAAAAACACAAGAAGGGGGGGGGGGGGGGGGGTTGAATTGAAAAACTTAGATTAAAACAGCTTAATGACACAGTATTTGTATCCTGGTTCGTTTGATCTCAAACTACTCCAGTCCACCCGTCAAGGTGATTTCGCCTCTCTCCAACGAGGTATTAATCCACTAATCTCAAAGGATTACAACAGCTACTTTAACAACTGTTAAAGTCTTCTTGAGTACAACCACAAACTGGTTAATCTCAACGAAATATTTTACAAATAATTGAACAAGAATGTGTTGTTGTTTTCTAACAAAACAGTATATCACAACTGTGATAATTACACAGGTTAAGCTTAGAATAGAATAAATTTGCTAGAGCTTGAATATGCGTGGTTTGGAATTCTCTGCAAATTGATGTGTGCGTACGTACGTGCTTCTTTCACAAGCAGACTTGTTTATATAGGCAAGGCAGAGACGTTGTCCATAAAGCAAGTTTAATGTTAATAACACACTTTCCTTTTGTAGAAGATCTTGTCTAAATAAAGTCGTTGGCATTTAATTCTGTCTTGAATAATTAATAACGCTTCAGAGTCTTCTTTGCTTTAACCGCTGATAACGCTTCAGAGTGTTGATGACTTGGTTGAGATGTCTTTGTTCAGAATCAGAGTGTACTTGTTTGGGCACAGATTCTAGTCATCAAACTTCAGTGTAAAACCTGTTTTTCTTTCAGCGTGTAATACTTTATTGCTTATCTTCTGATGTTGATTCCATCAGAACTTCTGCATACATAGAACATATTTTTAAGGAGCATATTTGTTCTTTGTATATATTCTTTGTATTTATTTATTCTTTGTATTTTGTTATCATCAAAACTCTAATCAAGGGTTGTAGAATCAAACTATGTTCTAACAATCTCCCCCTTTTTGATGATGACAAAAACCAGATTTTTCAATTAGAGAATAAAGAATAAAAAGTAGAATTAAGAAGAAAAACTCCCCCTGAGTTGATTTCTTCCCTTTAATTCCATGAGTCTTTGAGCATCAGAATTTATCCTGTGTCTTTCATCAGAGTTCTGTACCTGTTCAAGCTTTTTAGAAGAAAGAAATTAAGTAGATCAGAATGTTTGAGACTTATGTCTCAGTAAACCGTTATTGAAAATCTCTTATTCTTTCTCCCCCTTTTTGTTAGTTATCAAAAAGAACATATAATCAGAGCTAAAAAGGATTTATATTAAAAATAGGAAGCAATGATAAGAAGTTCAGAACAATAGCAATGTAGAATAAATATTACAGATAAACAGATTTTGAAAGAGAAATCTAAGAGGGAGGAGGAAGGCGTGTG